AAGTTTGTTTTGGCCAAGGAAATTAAAGTCTCGAAAAATTTGAAGAGCGTGTTGGCTGTCTTTAATATATGATGGTAAAGTTTTGACGATGGGAGCCATAATTTTGTCTAGATAGCTGGAGATAAGTTCGGTAGGGCAACTGCAAGCCGAGACAATGGGCCGACCCGGGTTGTTAGGTTTGTGAATTTTAGGTAAAAAGTAAATACGAGAAGTTCTAGGAGTGGTTATGATGAGATTTTTTTCTGTGGCCGGCTATGAACATGAGAAGAGAGAAGCAAAAAATGAAGAGCCAATTCCCCTTAGGCTTCTGTATAAGAAAATTTAATCATAAACCTAATATTTAATCACTATTCAAAACATAGGTGTTTTCATACAGCAACATGCCTAATCCTGTCAAATCATTTTTTCCCACTACATTTTTTAGCACACATGAAAGAAAATGGAACTTATGTATAGGGTATTCACTTGTATTCTGTGAAAAGATTTTAATAACTTTAGCAAACGGACCACAAGTTTTCATGGTACATGCTCTTACTAATCATGGAAAAGACGTCACAAATGCTTAAAACCAAAGGCGATGTAATTGCTGACTAACGTATCAAAGCTTCTTGCCCAAGCAAACTTGTAGAATCCCATGGTGCAAGCCTTAATAAACTCACTGAATTTTGCCCAGCTTGTAATATATGGCTTCGAAATTCAGTTAGTAGTAACGCCCTGTTAGTATCTGAGAGACATAGGTTTGAATTTGACGAATAATAAATTTCCAGAAAGTAACAGATAACCGTATCAATAAAATCGCGACCTGCTATTTTATCTTAAGGTCAAAATATCATTGATTTATAACTGTTCATAGTCAGTAATGTAACTATCTGCACGCCTACCATCAATTCAGTAAACAAAATACAGTAAATAGATCGTCCATTACTAAAATTCCAAGCTGACGTGGGGAAAAACGAACTAAATTAAACACTATGAGTTTCTGAGGTGTTAATTTAATAAAAGAAAAAACATTTACATATATCAGGAGAACCTGCATATATATATTTATGAGTGTCACGCTGCAAAAGCTACAAAACACACGTGGAATATAGACCTAGATCCCCCTTCTGCTATTTTGTTTTTGTTGTTATTTCGATGGCGTTTTACGCCATTCTGTAATATTGATATGGCTGGCCAGAAGTAGACCCAGGTCTCTCGCTGCTGCTGGCAACAGATGGACCTAGACACAAAACAACAAGCAGAGTTTTAAGATGATAATATGTGACAAAATAAAGCCCGTTATGCCGGGTGGGTAATTTTGTGTACGAAGCGATCCTGATTTTCTGGGAACTGATTTTTGTTTGAGTTAATTCAATTACTATGCCGACCATTACACAAATAGTGACAAGTTTCGATCAAAAAATATTGATAGCGATGATAATAGTAATGATAATAATTATCAGAAATAAAATGAAGACAATGATAATTGGGACAACGACTATTTTAAAATCGTAATAATAGCAATCGATGTTTTAATCGCGTCTGTATAAAACAAATAAGCTATTTTATAGCCTGTGTACTGCCGCCCCATCCCCTCGAAAAAATCGGGGAGGGAGCGTCTATGATTTACCGTTGCTAATCGTGTATGGGGACCACGTGATTTTTCCCGGAATGTGCGGAAAATGATCTCATTGGCTGTTACTCGTAGATCATTACATCATGTGAACCACGGGTTTCGATTGGCTATCAATTTCGCGGTGAATTGACTTCTGAAATGTGAAGCCTTCTCTCAAAGTACACATTGCTCTCACAATAACATGTGCGCGAATTAGCGATGAGTTTGTGTGCTCTTTGTGGGAAAAACATCGTTCAGAATTCAGATAAAAATGCCGTTGACGGTCGGAAGAGCTCGCTCGAGTTTTTTAACGTCCGGGAGGAGTAGCTGTCGCTGGAGTGTAAAGTGTCTAAAGATTCCGCTTACATGTGCAGAAATTGCCTGTCGACTTTAAAGAAACGAAGGGCTCTTCTCACGAATCTTTGTATTGTGAACTCTACGATTCGAAAGATTATCAGCTCGAAATCCTCTTCTTCTTCCGTCTTCCTGTGACCCGTCAAAGCGAATCCTACTCGGCCTCGTTCAACCATCACGTTTGAAGCGGTGAAATCACAATTATTTTAGTACTGCCACGTGGACGCGAGAGCAGCTCATCGGCGACGATTGGAGCAGCATAAAAGATTGTCGGAAACAGGATAATTAGTATTGTAATGATTCAAAATTATCTGCCGGAAATCGAGTGTCACGATCTGTCCGCTCCGATAAATCAGTTTGTTTATCTTTGTTGGGAAGAACTTTAAAGCCAATCAACTTACGTTTTGATGAAGGTGTGTTCATGAGAGAAGAAAACCAGTGTGGGTACCTTTTTGGTCGGTCAGAGACCTCGCCTAATATTGTTCTGTCTGCTTTTTGAAAATAAATTCTGGAAGAGAACAGTGACATT